TTAGCAGGGGTGGAACTACTCTCTACTCTAAAGACATACGAATATATATGGCGTCAGAATAACCAAAGTGAGTTCAGTATTGAGTTCCACCTAAATGGCTATGTTAGTTACAGGTATTTTGATCCCCCCTTTGTTGGAAAGGAGAAGACTGATGGGAGAGAGGGAAATTCATATTTTTTGGAACGGGACAATTTCATTCTAAAACCATCATTGAATCCTTCCAGTGACAACTATTGTTGTGTTGGAGCTGATACCATTGTCATAATTTCAGGGATAGAGAAGAGAATGAATTGGATTCAAGGCTTTTATTTTCAATGCAAAAGTTATTGTTTGTCATACCCAGGCAGATCATCTGAGTTTGGAATCTTTAAAGTCAGTCATCGTCCATATACTTGGAAACTTGGTCAGTGCATCACATCACTATCAAGTGCTGCGGCTGCTCTTTGGTCGTGCAGGTTCTATTTGGATTATTATTCCACTGAATCACCATATCTTGTGCATTGTTGAAACTAGGCCATCAAGGTGTTATGTCCTGCTCTGCTTGAATCTCCTGAAGTAGGCGTAGTAAGTGAGACTTGCACTTACAGCACTTGACACAGCATCCTTACCCCTTTGGTGGTTTAGATCCATCCATATTTACCCCTTAATGTTAAAATCCATTATGACAAAATTCATTAGTAATTCATCATAATTAATCTTCATTATTAACCAGTTTTGAGCAACTTCATGCCTATGTTGATGATGCAAAAGTTTTGTGCACTTGCATACATTTGGTATTTGTACAATTCTGTGAGTAGTTGAAAAATGTATTGCATTGTATTGTGTAAAGGGTGGGTCACATGCAGATCACATGTAGGCTATGTATACCTCCACCTTCTAATGCTCCCATGCATTAACCTGAGAAGGACCCGTACATAATCGTTGCCATGAAGTAGTGCTCTCACACTTAGGAATTTTACTGACAGCAGCCAATGTCCACCATTTGTCCCTGTAGCCAAGCCCCTCATGATGAATTCAGTCAATTACATTTTAACCTTTTTCACTCCAGCACTAAATATGAATTTCCCTGTAGCTATACAGGAAAAATTCCAAGAAAATGTAGCATAAAAAACTGGCTACACATGATTGCCAATGCAACTACTAATTTCAAAAGGCTCTAAAATTAGGATTAAAATTGTATGCCATGTCAGCTGCATCAGGGGAGTGGAAATGTTAATGTGTAATGTCACACCAGGCTTATGACTTCGGAGCATAAATATTTATTCAGTATATTACATATTAGCATAATTCATCAGATTAGGTTAGTCTTTTCTTTCCGATTTACTGTGATATGCTTCTTGTGTTTGCAGTTTTAAGATGTGAAACTGGAAAAAAACAAATGCTTTATCATGCTGTACTTTTCCCTGATGTGTATACCTGTGACATCATCCCTCAATTTTGGATCATAGATGACCAATATTGTTGGTATCAACACAAATGGACGAAAGCAATATCTTATTGCAATGCCCATTAGGCGACCAGACAAAATGGAGCTTCCCAGCAATGGCGTTGGCATCAAAGCAGACAAGGAGTATAGGGAAGAATCTGTGAGTAATCTCTTTAATTTCTTTTGTGTGCAACAACATTCAAATGAATTGACGTAACGTCAATATGTTGATATTTCATGGTTTTTCTTAGTTACACACTTGAATGGCATGAAACTTTGCAGTTAAGTATGGCATCCTGTGCACTACACATTCTCCTCAGTTCTCATAGTTTTTGCTGTTTTCTTTTGAATTGCCAATCAAACATGTGCCACAGGTTTGATTCAATTTGCGAATAGTTTTACTTCGGGGATGCGCACACCAAAATTCCACCTGGAATTGGCATACTGTACCGGGTGCGACAGCCTATTTGGGACATTTTCTTTACCGCAAATTTTGAGCTTTCGGCTGGTAATAACTATTTGAAAATTGTCACAGACAGTGGCCTAGGACTCCGCTAAATAATCCTGCTATTTACGGGTTAAATGCCCATAACTTCGGATGGACCAAACTGTTCAATTTTGCTCCTAAATATCACTCTGCACGTAGAAGCCAAGCAAGCCACCTGCGGATTTTCTGACACGCCTGGCCCAGATCTCAGTGAGGACCTGAAGCGGCGCATTAAGCGAGCAGTAGACAATGGAATGCCAGCTAAGGACGTCGCTGAGGCATTCGGTGTTTCTCGCACCACTGTTTACCGCGTCATGGTGGCCGGAGACGATCAAGAGTCTCGGAGAAAAGGAAGAGCGCCACCCAACCTGAAGCGAACCGAAGAGTTCAAGACCGAAGTGGCAGCAGCGGTTGCTGAGAATCCGCGCAAGAGTCTCAGGCAGCTGGCCAAAGAATAGTGGCGTTGAAAGTCAATGATTTGCACTTCCATTTGCATGTTTCAGTTTCAGTTTAACAAGTGCAGCTCGGACTTTGCATAAACTTTCCCCTACTTTTGAAAAAAATTGCAATAGTGCCACAGTTTTTTACTTTTGCACATTGTGTGTGGAAAATATGTGCGTGCTGATAGTGTTAAATAAACAGCAGTTAATATAACTTTTATCAATACAAGCCTTGAATAAAGAACTTAGCAAATTTAAAGTCCCAAGAACCGTGGGAAAATCCGAATATAGTCATTAATATACCTATTGCTGGAAAATTATGCAATCAATAGTCAATTTTTAAGTATGTATATTTAGCTATGATAAGTGGCCTTATATTGAAGCCAAACACACAGTTAATCGGTGAATCCGACGACCGTAGTACAATATCCAAGATAACAATTTCCTTAACGCGTCCAAAAACTAGTGCCTTTACCCTAGTGGAAAAACAAGCAAGATAAAGTAACCGAAATTCATTCTGTTGTCAACTGAGTCAGTTGAAGTATGTGAAAGGACAAAAAGGAATGCCGCAGGGTACGAATCCAGGGGGATGACCAGACCAACACACGATATTCCCATATTCGCCAAACAGATTGCGACAGAAATTGTGACTTTCAACTTTCATGTTCTCCTGGAAGCGCGACCAATGAATCTTACCAATTTCAGAGACATTCCACAACATGCAAGGCATCCCCAACAAGGTCGTGTTCTTCATCCCTGCGTATTCCATTCCACTCTCTGTGAACTTGCATTCCATCATTTCTAGTGAAAAAAATGAAGAAACACATAAATGCGTTCATTTCAAAACATAAGCCTTTCTCGTGTAAACTGCTCCAGGCCTTCTCTTGGATGTTAACTTTTATTCTGTTATCAACTACTTTCAATGAAAGATTTCTTGAATCAACTAGCGTTGTTGACAGTATTTATGCAAGAATTTGGCAGCATTGGCGGCGATTCCTCAGCAGTTCAACACGTGGGAGAATATGAGATATCGGATGGGGTAACCTGTCTTCAAGGTGACTTCAGCGAAAATGTGTTAATGAAACGAGAATTAAATCAGGCAGTCCTGAAGAGCAGTCGCTTTTCTGAACTGGAGTATCTGATTGGGTTCCAAGCCAATTGGCTCCCTACCCCTTATGGCCATCATCAGACCGTAGTCTTATCCCAAAATGGGTTTGTGGACAATTGGCCTCAAACCCAATGTGAAAATAAACTGGGATGGGGGTAGCGAATGCCAGTAAATAATATGAACGTAGTGTCAATTACAGTTTCCATTTGAATTCAATCGTATAGAGCTTCCTGATGCTGAAAGAACCATATAGTATATGAAAAGTTGAAACGCTTGCTGTGTTGCTTGTCTAAGGAGAGAAACCTTCTGTCTAGGGCTGTACCGATGGCCGCATTTTGCTGACTATTATCGCATACCTATTGTCTGGCACCGATGCCGATGCTCATCGTGAAGTAGAAACAGGTAATAACCATTTTATTAAGTATTTATTGAAATTGACCTATTCGTGCCGTTGTTCACGCCATTCATAGTCACATTCGATTTTTATTGGTCTGTCGCGCGAGGTGTTTAGAAAATATCGACGTATCGAAATAAGGCATAATACATCGATGCAACCAGAGAGAGGGGGATGGGCGGATTCAGTCTTTTCTCACTGTGATAGGACGGAACCGTCACTTTCGTCGTTTCTTGCCTTGCTTGCGGTGCCCATCTCAATCGTACTCCGCAATCTGTCGCCTGTGATCGGAGGGAGCGAGAGAGAGAGGGGAGGGGAGAGGAAGGGGGGGGGGTGGAAGTGCCACCTTCTCAACAGGCCTACCATTCCTCCAACTATCGAAAATGACATTCATTCATCGATGGATGCAACGAGTGGGACAGAAAATTTCCTATTGTTGTTGATAATTAATTGCCAATCCGCGTTCATGTATATTTCTTTTTCTTCCGTATTGTGTGGAAGAGTCCGAATGTGCATGATCGTTGCGGGATTGGTTTTGCTGCAATACTGGGGTCTGTTGGTATGACATTTCACACGGCCTTCGCCTGGACATTAGATCTGCTCACGCGTAAAACGTTTCGTTCATTTCGCAATATTCCGTCGGTGGTTCGAGCTACCGACGTCACCGCTTGGGACGAAGCGCCAATGGCAGCTGCTGAAGCGCTGGCAGCGATCGAACGGGCGTTGTGACACTAGGTTAGCGATGACACTCGGTTCAGTGGCAATGTGTCTGTGCTTGGTGGTGACTTTTATCTAGTGAAGTCATTCGTCTGCGAGGCATCTCGCAGTCAAAGCGTTAAGACTTCCATGAAAATGATCCCTTTGTGGTCATAGTTCCGAAATATACATTTGACAGGAAATATGTGTGCTGCTGCAAATTAAATTAATTTGCAAGATATCAAAATAGTTTAGTGGTATCGAGAGGCGATATCACCCATTTGGAGACCACGTAGCTAAGTCGAGCGTTTTCAATTTAAGGGTAGGCCTACGAAGTGTGATATATATGTATCAGCTGCAGTTGCAGTCGTAGCCATACATATCTTTTCTTCTAAGCTATTTCTCAGTAATTAAAGCATTGGACAACACAAGTGCAATACCAAACTTACTGGGATAGTCTGGGCAGATTGAGATGTTGCAATATTCCCATTTTTTGTCTGCATCGGCAACGAAGCACCAGGGTCTCTCCTTTGAAGTTGGATTCCTGCAAAAGTTTTCTGCTGCTGTAGTTGTTTTATCATGATTGTCTGGGAAGTGATCCTCGTAGCTTCTGGAAGGATCGAAGTCGTCAGTCTTTCCATAGGGTTTAGAATCCCACCAATGGCATTCTTTTCCGGTCTCTGTCTTCCTCATTGTCCCCACATATTCCTCTCCCTTTGCGCTTTGGAGACATTCCGGATATCCTTTCGCCGGCTTTCCTGCCACATTCAAATCAATATTGTCTCCGATTCATGCCGTAACATTTTCCACGAGTGGCATGCATATCGTTTTTATGTTAAACTTGCTATTGTCGGGCCTTCGGCGCTCCATTACCTTGGATAGTGATTAATTCATTTATTCTTTGCGAAATGGAAATGGCAAACACGTATTTAAATTACATCCCCATTGAAAAACATGACATATAGGGACGAAAGTCTTCATTTTTATCAAATTCATTATTTAAATTATTTCTGGCGTGCCTAACTTCAAAACTTTTCGTGTGTCACTTTTTGTAAGGGAGGAGAATATATTTTGCAGCACTTCCCTCCTATAATCTACGCTAATGGGGCTTATTTCAAAAGTAGAATTTTTCCTGTACTTAACCATTAAATAGATACTTCTTAGGGAAGATCATATTTTTCGTCTCTGCTTCGTTGGAAAAAAAATCAGGAAAATTGGACTGAAAAAAGTGCCCTTTAACAAAAGTTTTTTTAAATGTAGACTCAGGGAACTCCATGCCACCCAGTTTCAACCTTATACGTTTCCTATTTTTACTGGCGGGAAAAAAAAATTTACAAAAGCGACCCACCCAATAGCTATGCTCTGAGGAGACGCACAACAAAAGCTGAATTTTTCCTCAAGTCAACATCACGTCCATTATGCGTGCGCCAGCTGCTACTTTTCTGTCTGCCCGATTCGCTAGATGATGAAAAATTATCTGCAAACATAACGTCCCCAAGAAATATCCCCCCCCCCCCAAAAAATACCAATATTTTGGAAATTTGAAAATTTTCCTGAGCAAAATGCGCCATTAGTGACGTTCTTGCCAGGTTTCAGCTTTCCATGTCTCTCCATGTTCAAGCAAAGAGAACTATTTGAAAATATGTTCCCGGAAAAAGTGTACCCCTATGGCATTTATCACCAAATTATAATTTTTCCTCAACTCAGCATGCGACTCAAGTCAGTCAGCTACTCACGATCTTTTATATATAATAAAAGTATAATTGTTTATTTACTCAGCTATACATCAGGATCTTCTTTGCCAAATTTAAACTTTCTAGCGCCCTCTGTTTTGCTGGATCAGAAATTCGAGAAAATACGACCTTTGTAATAAAAGTGCCTTGAAGCTTTTTATCCGAAAAGAAAATTTTTTGTTACTGAAATCAATCCTCAGAGAACTGCGTGCCCACAAAAATTCAACCTTATACGTTTGCCCTTTTCGCTGGCGAAAAAACATGCTTGGAAAGGCGACCTACCCAAAAGCTATGCCTGGAGGGGATACACCATGAAAGCAGAATACTCCCTCAACTCAATTATGTCACTTATACGTGTGCCAAGTTTCACCTTTCAATTTCTGTCCAATTCGCCAATACAACATTTTTTTTCAACATCGCCCCTCGAAAAAATTCCCCAGGGAATGTATCGAGGCGAAACATTTTTAACTCCTTGTCGCAGTAGTCACATTTATGCAAAGTTTCAGCTTTCCATGTTCATCAGTTTAACTGATGCAAAAAATTTTTTGAAAACATCTCCCTTTAAAATATGTGCCCATTGGCATTTACTTCCAAAGCCTGCATTTTTCTGCACGCAGCATCCCAATAGGTACCAAGTTTCATCTCTCCACACCAGCTTAATACGCCAGGGCGAAAAAAAATGACGTGAAAACGTCGTCCCATAAAAATATGCCCCCACAGGACATAAATATTAAATATTACATTTTTCCTGAACGCATCGTCTCGGTAGGCATGTCCATACCAAGTTTCAGCTTTCCATGTCTCTCCGTTTTACTTAAGCAAAAATATTGTTACGGAGCGGGAATGAGTAACGCGACTTGGAAGGCATAAGAGAACCAAGGTACGGCCCGGAATAGAACCCGGGCCTCCGGTTTGCCGTTCAGGTGTGCTACCATTACACCACCGAATACGGGACATCTAGTTAGACCTCTCGATGCCATCCTAATCCGTCACAATATATATATATCTTTAAAAACTTCTCCCCCCAAAATGTGTACCCCCAGGTCATGTACCTCCAAAGTCGGATTTTTTCTGAACTTTGCATCCCAAAAGGTACATGTGTACAAAGTTTCATATATATAATCCTTCTAGAACATGGTTAGAATTAGCGTCAGTCAGTCAGTCACGATCGTCTATATATATTAGATGAGGAGTCATTCCAGGTAATATCCAATCGAATACGGGACACCCACTCAGAATTTAATGAAAATCAGTGTGTGGGATACTTTAATGAAAGAAAAATACATGTCAATTATTTCCACTCTCTGAATAAAAGTCCATAAGTTATGCGCATATGAAATTTCAGGGGCGGAGCTCAACTTCCCTTGGGAATATGGGGATGAAAACGTAAGTTATGGTCTGATTCCGACAAACAAGGAGTCCTTTAAAAGGGGGGACTAGGGAGATTCCAAATACGTAATTACTAGGTTGTGCGAAAAATTCTGGGGCAGCTGCGTAAAAATTAATTTTCATGCGCGAATTCAAATAAAAATCAACAACTATTCTTCAAAATCAAGGCCGTCGTTCTCAACGATCATCTGCCATCCATCTCCAAGCATCCGGATCTGCTTGAAGTACCATTCTTTGGGCTTCGAGTCAAAAAATTTCTGACACGCTCCCTCGACTTGATCAAAAGATTCAAAGCATCTTCCTCGCAGAAAGTGTTCCACAGATCGAAACAGGCCGTAGTCGGATGGAGCAGTATCAGGACTGTAGGCGGGATGCAGCAGAACTTCAATTCCTTCCAACTCCTCGAACTTCTCTTGCGTCATTCTTGCGCGGTGAGCCGGGGCGTTGTCCTGCTGAAACAAAGCTCGCTTGCGTCGAATCAAGACCGGGCACTTCTCCTTCAGGACGTTGTAGACTCGGTCCAGTTGCTCGGTGTACAGCTGGGCGTTCACGGCTCGACCATTCGGAACCAGCTCAAAGTGGACCACGCCCTCAAAGTTCCACCAAACCGAAAGCATCACCTATTTGCCAAAACGATCCGGTCGAACTGTTTGGCTGCGCTTCTTGACCTCGTGGGACTCACTGCTTTTGCTTGCTGTGGTTGACCAAATAGACCCACTTCTTGTCAGACGTCACAATGCACTTCCAAAATCGGTCGTCCAATGGGTTCTCGAGCAACTGACGACAAATCTTGACTCGCTCCTGGGCCTATGCTTCTGTCAGCTCATGAGGATCCTACAGGGCTTTTTGTGCATAAAGTCGAGCTGTTGCAGATGACGATGAACCGTTGACTTGCCAACTCCAAGAACCGCCTCCAAGTCTCGAGTGCTCGACGATGGCTCGTCTTCCAAAGCGGAACGCAATGCATCCTCGTCAAATGTTGATGGTCGGCCGGAATGAGGCTTGTCTTCGAGGCTGAGGTCGTTGAACTTTTTGAACCAGCGTGCAGCGGTCGACTTGCTCGATATTCCTTCTCTTTCGACGTCGCAGATTTCCTTAGTAGCAGCTCTTGTGGAAAGTCCTTTCTTCCAGTAGTGACGCAACAAACACGAACCTCGATAGTATCGCCCGACATTTAATTTTTCCGCAGCTGCGCCAGAATTTTTGGGACAACGTAGTAAAACAAAGATGCAAACATATTTTGACCTTTTAGCACATATGAGTGACATTTGACCTTGAAAATGACCTTGTGGAACCGAAGCCAGACGGAAGTCACTTTTACAGTCGAGGCACATATATCTTGAGTACGGCAAAGTTTCATAGATGCCATCTTTTTTGTTCTGCAAATAAGTTTTAAACTAGCTAAGTCCTGTCCATACGCCACTGGAAACACTGATCTTGGGGCTAACAATTATTAAGCATGTCTTTTTCGATTATGATTTTGTGTGCGGTAGCTTAGAATATTGCTCAGTCCTTAGTGTTGCTTAAGTGCACTCAGTTGATTTGGTGGCAAAAGTTTTGTAGCAGCAATTTTGTTAATTGTTTTAAAATTACTTGTTAAAGTTTGTTATGCCTTTAATTTCCCCCCCCCATTTCTTATGCGTCATAATCTCACCCTGACAGTCAGAATACAATACAACATTCCCAGGTCTTCAGACACGGACCTCTATCTGTGACGAAGGTTTCGAATAAACAGATTAATTCTAACTCTTACGGTTAACTTCTAATATAATTTCGAAGTTGTACAGGGACTTTTGGGACAGCCTCAACATTCTAACGAACTGTGTACGAGTATCTTACGAGTATCTTGCGCAAAAACAGTTTATGAATACCACATACTAACTTCGTAAGAACACCTTGGTAGGTGAGGTTTGATGATGCCCGACTATGAGCTCTTCACTTCTTACTAAGAAAAAATGACAAAATGCTTTTTTCATTAATACCCTGGGAGATCCCTGGGGCCTGTGGACAGGACGTGGCTTAAAACTTACTTGCAGAACAAAAAAGATTGCATCTATGAAACTTTGCCATACTCAAGTTAAGATATATGTGCCTCGACTGTAAAAGTGATTTCCGTCTGGCTTCGGTTCCACAAGTTCATGTTCAAGGTCAAAGATCACTCATATGTGCTAAAAGGTCAAAATATGTTTGAATCTCTGCTTTAATCACGCATTTGGAATCCCCCTAGTGTCTCCCTTTTTAAAGGATTCCTTGTTTGTCGGAATCAGACCATAACTTACGTTTTTATCCCCATATTCCCAGGGAAGTTGAGCTCCGCCCCTGAAATTTCATATGCGCATAACTTATGAACTTTTTATTCAGAGAGTGGAAATAAATTAAATGTATTTTTCTTTCATTAAGGTATCCCACACACTAATTTTCATTAAATTCTGAGTGGGTACCCCTTAAAAATGCATATCCCACTGGGCGATTTGACATGGAATGACCCATGGGGCAAACAGCGGACAGCTTTATAATATATTCCACGATTACATATTCCTTGTTATTCGCGTTATTGCTCCAGTATGACATCATTCATTCTCATAAATCCTTGAAGATTTCATTGTTTTATGTTCGAATAGTTCAGATATGTCAATTCATGAGTTCACATGTTCGTGGAACAACCAACGTTCATACCAGCAATAGCAACTTGTCTATATACTTCCCAGCAAAAAGGGATACCGCATGACTTCTTCTCATTGCTCCCTTCGGGGTAACACCACGGACCACTCATGTCTCTCTCGTCTGGATTCCGGCAATAGTTGTGGTGGCTATCCAAACCAGAATCGGGGAATTCCAACAGATGAAGGAGCATGGAATGTTTGTGGGGGGTCTGGCTCAACCAGCGTTGACACTTTCTCCCATCCGCATCCACGTTCTTCAACCCTGCGTACTCCATTCCCATTCGTGTCAGCCTACATTCCACTGGCTCTATGAAGGGGATGAGTGACCGAATGTATTGATATTAACAATAAAATACATTATTTTGAGATTGTGCAGTAGATGATTAAATATTATTCATGAATGCAAGACATGAATTGCGTAAAAAACCTTGGTTTGTAATATTTTATGTTGATGCTTGAACTGAAATGAATGAAGGCAAATACAGGGGATTCAAAAGTGACGTCATTTATTTTTTGTTCCGTATCTACAAGTACAGGTCTGGTATCGATCGATTTTTCTGCTTCTCCTGAGCAGTTTTGTGTAGCATGGGTGTGGGGTGAAATTACTTCAGATGAAACGAAGGGAAAAGTTGTGACTAATTACCTTTTCGTAGTTGTTACAATGGAATTAAGACGATGGAAAGAAAGCAAAAGGGAGGGAGCGAGAGAGAGAGAAGGACATGTGTTATTATCTCATGTTCAATATGACCACCATCTGCTTGAACATGTGAAGCCATTCGCAAGGGAAAATTTGACAGCATTGTAAATTTGGTCACGATGCATGTGTGAAACTCATTGTAAGACTAGTCGAAACCCGGATCCTCTGGGTCTAACTCGTACACGAGGGCTACCGTAGACACAAAAGATATTGTACAAGCAGCTTACACTGTACACACCGGGCTACCGTGCCCACGATCTACCCGTTCCACTGATTTTTTATGCAACAAAAGTTCCCATCAATAACCCATGTGGGTCGCATCCACAGATAGAAGACTTTATTGCACCTCTTTGTGTACAGGATTGCGTTTGAACATTTTTGGTATCTGGGAATGAGTTGACCCTGATTCCATTGGCTGCCCCCCCCCCCCTCATCGAATGCCCGTGCATCAACCATGTTTGCGGCAGCACGCATTACCTACTCGACGGCAGTCGTTAGAAAAAATTGAATGTGCATTTTTTTAAAACTTTATGCAGCATTGCGTATGGAAATTCTCCACGCCCGGAAATGCAAAACTGCAAGGCTTGGAGTGTACGGCTTGGCCAGGAAAATGACTCTGAAATGTTGACCTTTGTCGTCTAATATCTCTAAGGGGAAAGGTCACATAGAAAAATGAACTTGACCGGAAAACCCCAGGGATTTAATGACTTCAACAAACAACGAATGAGGTGATTTTGACGAAAAATGATCCTGGTGACCCAGGCGGCCTAGCTACCCATCGGTGGCGGGGTTACCAAACTCCGTCGTTCTAATGCCCCACCCATAGGAAGCCAAGTTTAAAGTTTCAAAGTCAGGGATCAAACCGTCAAGGATGAAAAGCGGCCTCGGACACACCCACACACACACCCACACACACACACCCACACACACACACCCACACACACACACCCACACACACACACCCACACACACACCCACACACACACCCACACACACACACCCACACACACACACCCACACACACACACACCCACACACACATACACTCCAACACACACACACAGACACGCTCATTACTAAGGTCGATGGGATTTCTCAATTCTGCGAAGTTAGTCCCATTTTAGCAGCAAACGTCGGATACGCAGTGTTGCCCTTGTGCCCAGTGGTGGCACACGGGTGTCAAATGACATCAAAATTTGCTCATGCCATTGGTGCCGTTTGAATTCATTTTGAGAGTCCTTTCAATGACCCAAGTTTAGTGAAAATCTGAAATGAATACTTGGGTAGTGTCTCTTGTGAGTACGAAACAGAGGGCCGCGTCTCAGCTTCCCCAGATTTTTTCCCTCCCACTCTAGATCAATTGCACGAACTGGCAGAATCATCACATTCAATATTTATTGTGAGGTATACTCGGAGGTTTTTGATAGCGAACTTTTCCAGTATCCTATGGCACCAACGGCATGACTCGTCATTGAAGAATGGTCCGAGAACTGGAGATTCAGCCTAGTCCATGTATAGGGGAAAAAAGCCTACTTTCGTGGAAGCATTTGACAGCAAAGTGATCGCTAATCATCTTAATAGCATCATTCATCAACTAGGTTAAGATAAAGATCTGAGAAAATTGCCGCATGGCATGGTTGGAAACACGTCACATTTTCAGGATTGTTGGATTCCCCTTTCACCTCTCGCGTACGTCGAGCCAACAGTTTTATCGAAGAGAAAGAAGTCAATCATATTCGATGACGAAATATCCAACAGTATTTGAGCAAACTTCACTGACGACGAAGAAAGGAAGAAACCTGCAACTGAGCTGTTGCATATAATTTTCACATCATTCAAACACATCACATCTCCTCCCGAGAGAGAATCCACAAATTTCCCTTCAGCCTTCCTCGGTCAAATAGCTTTCCCATTCACCTCATTGTCAGGAAGCCAAGCCGACGGTCTATTGACTCCATTAATCATATTATCGTCCGATGAAATAGTGTGCTTTTGTTTTTCCACTGTATCTAGAACCTACTCTACCTTCCGCTCCGACGCTACGAACTGTCGGATGGAAATGACTTCTTCGGACTAAAATCCCCAGGTCGGTTCGAAAAAAAAGGAATAAAAAAACCCCGAATTATTGAAGTTTTGGTGGGACTGAGCCCCTCCTGTCAAATTTTTGAGGGATCCGAGCATCCAAGCCCCCTATGAATCGCCGCCTATGTAATCACATTATATTTTACTTTTAGAATTGCATGTTTGTCTCCATCGTTTGACCAGTCTCATGGAATTGAAGAATACAATCCGAAAAAAGTTCTGCGCATCAATTGTCACTAACAATGCAGTTTAATGCTTAATGTTTCTCTTGTGAATGACTGCCCATATTAAACAAATGGTTGCCACATGGAATGCATGTTATTCTAACGGGCTTCACTCTTTCCAACGTTCGAAAGGTATTGCAGTAGTCAACAAATGATGATGATCAGAACTCTTTTCCTATCGTTTCTCTAAAGGTGCAATTTGCCCCGCATTCATGTTGCACTAAACAGTTCAGAAGATGAAGAATAATTTTTTTAATCCCAAATGCGCCACTAAAAAGAAAATCCAGTGACTTTTTGAATTACACAGTACATGTGCTCTTCAGCTGGAAATCAGGAAAATTTTCAAACGTATTGATCAGCCTGAATTAAGACAAATACACCGCTCACAATTTAATGTACGGAAATACCATTTTCCTCATCATTTTTCATTTCCTGAATTACTAATGTGTTATGAATAAAGTGGTAATGATACTAGGGGGCAATTGGGTACACATTGACTGAAGCAAAGCCTGAGCATTCTCATTTTGGTGTGCACCAGGGTCTAATGTGTTCACAGTTTCCGACTTCCATGACAATTGCATTTCCAGTTTTGAAAAGAATTAAGCAATTCCAGAATGAGAGAATCAAACCTTTAGGACTGTCGCAGAATGGGATGTTGCAATATTCCCAGCTGAAATCCTTGTATGAGACAAAGCACCAGGGCCGCTCTTGCATTCCTGGATTACGGCAGTAGTTCAAGCTCTGCTCTGATACCCAACGGTATAAGTTTTTCTTCAGATCCTCTGGAGGTTCTTGGCGGTCTTCATAGGAGAGATGGGAGAACATGAAGTATGGCAGGCTTGCGGAATTGGGTATATCACTCCATATGAGACATTGCTTCCCGGTTTCAGTGTAGCTTTCACTTCCAATATACTCTTTCCCCATCCTAGTCATGCGGCATTCTGGATATATGTGTTGCACCTCATTTTCACCTGCTGTGAAAGTTTTCACTCGCATTTGATACATTGGTGAAAGTCAGAAACTCGAATTAAAATTCCGTTTTCATTCAGGTATCTGTTTCACGTTGGAATTTGATATAACCCTGATGGCAGTTTATTCTTATGATGGCAAACACTGCATGGAGCTGAATCCCCATTCCCGACCTTTATTTCCTCAACGCTGTTTCTCTGTAAGCTTAGTATAATTTGTATTGACTAGATTCATAGGTAATTATAGTACGATGGCTTTCGCCAATATGAACATAACTTTTAAGTATTGCATATTCTCTACCACACCTTCAATTAACCGAATAACATGCAGTTATGTTGTGAGACACAATCTTTTCTTGTGGAAATTCGTTGCCTAATCCAACGGTACCATGAATCCATTAGCCCTTTTGCGGTGGGAATATTAAACATAAACTGAAGAATTTTTGGTTATTCTGCTCGATCCACGAAATTCAACACCGTCTCTTTCAATTTACCTTTGCATTAAGTTGTTCCTTCGTATGAGAGAGAGTTGCACGTGGGAAAAGACATACTAACCCAGCCTGTCACCGCCCTACAGAAACTCGCTGGTAAGTGGTTCAAGGACCAGGAAACATTCTCCTTTGGCTACGCCTACAAAAGATTTACTTTTCCCTTCCCATAACTTCTTCCTGCGGTATTAGTTTAAATCCAAGTGCCTCATGTTATCTCGAGCTTTTTGATTGGGTCCACATGAATTTGACTTGGCATTGGGCATGATGACCAAGTTCCCATTAAGTTCCAAGTTTCCAGTCAAGCATACATACACAGGTCTGTGATAAACCAATTTCATATCCATGTGTGATTATTCGAAAGCCCATGTACACACTGGGTGTTTCGATGGCGAATTTAGATTTTGCCACTGGACGACGAAGAAAACATTTATAATTGAAAAGGAATCACGATTAAACGCACATTGGAACGGCCGCTAAGGCCCAGCACATGCCCAATTTCTTCCGTTGATCATATCGGAATTTTAGGAGCGTACGAGGGAATGTTTCACTTCAGTACTTGAGAGGGATCGTCATCAAAATGACTCCCTCCCGCGATTCGCTTTCTCTTACAATCGTCGGCGCGAGCGCATTTTATAGCTGTCTCTCTGCCGACGTTTTTGTGGCATGATGAAGGAATTACAATTTTTTCACAGGGGGCAAAAAACCGTGAAAATTAAGATTCATAAATATTATTATACCCATGAGGGCCCAGAGGGACAGAACTAAGACGCACTCAGGCTGTTATGAACATCCATGACACACCCAATTCCAGTTGCAACAATATCATACGTGACGATATTCTATTATTGGAAAGCATACTCATTCAGCACAACACCCAAACAGCATGTTAATCTTAATTCTACGTAAAATGAATTTAAATTCGTTGTCCATTTAAATTTTTTTACGCAAACTATTGTCAAGATGTCAACATGTTTGCCTAAATGTAACCTCTGAGATACGTAAACTGTGATATAAAATTCACGTCAATTTTACGTAAAATTGACATGCCCGCTTGCATTCCCAGCAATATGTTTGCGTTCATTTTAATTAAGATTTATGTCAATTTCCCCCTAGCATTCATGTGTCTTTAACGTGCCAATCAATACTTCTGAAAAGAATTGATAGACTATATCTCCCATTCCTTTCCATACTTCAGAACTCAAGGGTGGTTGGACTAGTACACTCATCCTCATCAGCACTCAAAAGGACCAAAATGACCTACCGCTTCCTCCTCACGTACTGGGACCTCGGGAGGAGGAATAGATGTTCAGAGAAGCTCTCTTTCATTTAGGATAAAGATTTAGTACTTGTGTAGCTCGGTTTTTTATTTATTTATTTATTTTTAATTATATTAGGAGCTAAAGGTATGGTGGGCCCCGCTGTCATGTGGTGGACCGACACATGACTCTCGCCCACCATGGTGAGATCCTCCCAACATGTGGGCTGGCAGAGAGCAAGACCCTCATGGTAAGGTGGGCCCCGCTGTCATGTGGTGGACCGACACAT